CCCAGGTGGATAGTTTCAGCAATCAGGGGCTGCTCAGTTGCTCATACAAAATCCCACCTTGGAGTTTACAAAGACTTATGGATAGAAAAGCCACACTAAGTAATTTACTACACCGCAGGTAGATTACTCAAATAAGCAAAAAGTATATAGGACTGTTAGCAAGAGGCCACAGGCGAATTTTGTTAGTTTTCAAGTTTCTGGGAAAGTACTCTGTTTCCTACAGAAAGAAAGAAAAGTGACTTATGGGAAGAGAGAAAAGTAAAAAAGAAACTAGCAGGGAAAGTCGAGAGACATCAGCTTGGTTTTGTGTTGACTGAGAACTACTCTTCTGGAGGAATTTGAGTGATAACTTTATGTGCCAAATCCTGAGGTTTTGGTTAATGCCCTAGGCTACTAACCAAAAGCATGGTGGTTTGAGTCCATCTAGTGGTGCCTTGGAAGGAAGACCTGGCAATCTGTTTCTAAAAAACCAGCCTATGGAGCTGATTAAAAACCCTTACGGAGCACAGTTCCATTCTGATATACACGGGGTCCAGATGAGTCAGAATTGACTCCATGGCAACTGGTGCTGGTATCACAGAGCCTTCCTCACCATGGTAATGGAACCCCCCCTGTACACCTGGGTTGGCAATAGCTGATTTCAAGGTTGAAGCTTTTAGGAATTCAGAGACTATTAGTAAAATGAAATCAGATCCAAGGTAAGTGGAAAATATAAGTATATAAGACACTTATATTTAAATATAAGTAACCTACCCAAGTAAATTAGAGCCAAGAGAAGAAATAGTGCATCACACAAAACAGCATTTGCTTTTTCTCCCCATCTCTCTTCACAGACCTGGTAAAGAGTTCTGAATATAATTCAAGTAACTGCTCCCTAAGCAGTTCTGAAAACCCATATGCCACTATTAAAGACCCACCTGTACTTATCCCCAAAAACTCGGAGTGTGGCTATGTGGAGATGAAATCCCCAGCACGGAGGGACTCCCCATATGCAGAGATAAACAACTCAACTTCAGCCAACAAGAATGTCTATGAAGTTGGTGAGTTATCCCCACCAAACAGTACATGACTACTTTATTTTTGTATAGAAACAATTTTAAAATATTTGGGAATGCAGTATTTGTAGTTCATGTAAACCATATTGAAAATAATGGCCATATTTTAGAGACAACCCATATGTACAGTGATTTATTAATATTAATTGGTGTCAAATGAATTTTTCAGGGAAAAAGCCATTTAGAAAAATTGAAGTAAGTTCTTACCTCCCAACTGGCCATCCATCTTTTGTTGTGTAACCATAGTGAATATTTTAGCACACATGTGAAATGGCATATATATCATATTAGCTAATATGTCAAGTTAGCCCAAACAAATGGTTCAAGTGGATTAAACAGGTGGCTCCATTTCCTGGTTAGATTCATTATATAAATATAATGTTTTTAGCAGTACTGAACCTGTGTAGTATATCAGTAATATTCTCAGATATGAATGCGATATAAATTACTATGAATTTAAAATTAGGGTTATCAGAAGGACAAATATTGTATTAGTCCACTATTGTAAAAAGTCAAGGAAAGGTTTATATATGGAGGGAAACTCTCTGTTGGTTATCAGGAATGGAAAAGGTGGAGAGGGAAAATAGGTAGATAATTACATATATATATATACATATATACATATATACATATATATATATATATATATATATATAAGCTCTGGTAGCATAGTGTCTAAGGCACTTGACTGCTAACCAGAAGGCTGGCAGTTCAAACCCACCAGCCACTCCTCAGAAGGAAGGTTGGGCAATCCCACTTCTGTAGTGATACTGCCTCGGAAACCCAAGGAGGGGTCACTATGAGTCGGGCTGACTTGATGGCAAATAACAACAACAACATGCATATATACATATTCCAAGGATGATTAGTAGTGGTTATCTAGGGTGGTAGGGAGGGGGAAAGGAGAAGCTTTTGTTTGTGAGGCATTGAGTTTATGCTAATGGTGGTGGAATATTTTGGGAAAGGATAGCAATAATGGTGGCACAACATGAAAAACATCATCAACATCTCTGAGTTGTAAATGTGGAAGTTGTTATGTTGGTGAATGTCTTGGTATGTATATTTTCATCTCAAAAAAAGTAAATAAATAAATAAAATTAGGGTTATTATGATTGCCCTTTGCAAATACAATTTGAGCAAAGTTAAAACAGTTTAACTTTGTCTAGTCACCACTAACTAACAATAGAGCAATATATTTTAATAATTCTGTCTCCTTCATCTCTTTCTAAGTACTTAAGTACATAAGATTTTTAATCTAAGTACTTAAGGTTTTAACTTTCAAAAATTCTCTACTATTTTTAAATGAGGGAGCTATGGTAGCATAGAGCTGAAGTAACTAGTTTAATACTAATTTATTTTGTGCCATTGACATGTCAGTGAAAGGGTATATATAAATAAATATTTTGAAAATGGAATTAATTTTAAGTGTTTAGACAGCTTGTTACAATGGAAGCCATACTGACCTAAACTTATTTTTGAAAGCTCAGTGATGAGTTGCCTTTAAACCACCTCATAGGCTAACACAGTAGGATGGGAACTTAACTGTGAGCCTAAGACCAGTGTCTTAAAATTGTGAAAATGTTGAATATTCCCCTGAATTTAAGGTCCTCAGTCTTCTCATCTGTAGATTAAGATTTGGACTAGATTATTCTAAAATGTTTTTCAGACAGTGACTCAAATCCAAGGTATCTCTATATTCCCTTAATGTCTTCAATCCCAGCTGTGTGATCATTCGTTTGTTCTGAATGCCATTTCTATGTGTGAGTGAGTACAGCAACCATAGAGCAGCCACTCCTATGTGATTATAGAAGAATCATTTGCCTTTAAAAATAGTTCTTTCAATTTTTATAAAAGTTCCTTTTCTGTGTTATTTGAAAAAATGTCACATGTATATTCCCAATGCTGATAAAATAACATGTCCTTGGTTATCACAGAACCTACAGTGAGTGTTGTCCAAGGAATATTCAGCAATAATGGGCACCTTACCCAGGATCCATATGACCTTCCAAAGAACAGTCACATTCCTTGCCATTATGACCTACTGCCAGTCCGAGACAGTTCGTCTTCCCCCAAGCGAGAAGGTGACGGCAGCAGCAGCAGCAGCAGCAGCGAATGACACCAAAGGATTGGGTAGCTGCTGAAACCCCTTCCAGAACTGCACTTCAGTTCTTCTCCATCCTCAAGTTTGCCACCTTATGTGAATGTTAATCGATGTGGTAGGCAGTTGTTGGACATGAACCAGAGAGCTCCAAGCTGAGGCTGACACTGACTGTAGGCGCTTTCTGTACAGGTGGCTTAGAAGGAGATAACAATGTGATGTCTCATTGTTGCTAGTTTTAGAACTGCATCTGTGGAGCATGACTTATTGTGAGATCCCGGCACGAGCCTTGCAGACTTAGCAGAACTCCTTTTGGAGACACGGGTTGCAGTAAACATTGGTATTATTGCTTGAAAATTGAAATTTAAGTATTTTCCTCTTCATTTTCATTGTAGAGCAGTACCTAGGATTATGCAGTTTCCCATAAAATTGACTTCATAGAAGTGGTGTGAACCACTAAACGTCAAGGAAAAGGGGTATGTTATGAGTCCTTATTGTCTAATTTTCTTCAGCTGGATTCAGAATTGTAAAGATAACATTAATGCAGGAAGAAACGTTCTGACACGTGGCAGAACTGGGCAGACTGAATAAACTGTAGAAGTGGATAGCAAATTTAAATATGAAAACTTTAGATATTTTTCCGGATGAGGAAATGTACAATTTTAATTATTTTAGAAATAGTGGAAGTATTGCAGGAGTCAATATACAGATGTCCCAGCCACAGGTGATTCCTCCGCCATCTGATCCCTTGCCCACTTTAGATCCATGACACTATTCTGAGCACCGTCCCCATCATACACATTCACTATTAGAGATCCATAACATATCGATGATTATTTCATAACCACAGAAATGAAATAATTTTATTTTTGACAGACTGGATTGAATAAGTGTATAATGGTTGGTAACGGGTGTAAATGTTAAGTGGAAGAAGACACTTATGTTTTGTAAACCATTAGTAATACATGCTGTAATATAGAATTAGGAGAAAGTTTTAATTTTTCCCTAGAGGTGACCGAAATATTTTTGTGCGTATTTGAGAAAAGGGCACTTTCCTTTTGTTAATTGTTGGTTTAGAGAAACTATGCTTAAGCTGGTCTTTTGCATTGCTAATATGACAAGTACCCTGTTTTTCATTAATTTGTATTTCCATTTTTAAGTTGTATATTCTATGTTTTGTAGTGTGTGGATTGTTAATGAAAGAAAACTATTATATGTTGACTATTTGTTATATTGTTGCCACTCATTTTTGCTTGGTAAAAATGCATTGTTCTTTTTTTTTTTTTTTTTGAAAGGAGGAAATGAACATATGTGATTCAAATCTACTAAAATTGGTCATTACTAAAATAATATAGTAACCATGGACAGATGGCTTATGATTGAAATAGGGAAGGCTATTTAATTTTGCAAAATCAAGTTCTTTTTGATCCAGTGGGCTGCAGATGTGTGTCTGTAGCCCACTAGGTCTTTAGTGAAGTGACATACCCCTGAAAGTTACTGAAGAGTGACTATCTAGTTTAAAAGTTTCAAGGCTGCTTACAAAGAGCTATAAATATGCTAGTTGTATTCCTTTCTTATAGAAATCATTAACAGAAATTATATTTGCAAGTGATCAATGAGAAACCCTTCAGTAAAACTGGGGTTGAAAGGAGGAAGGGAGACATTATTACTGAATGAGTACAACAGGCAGATCTTACCAAACACATTCATTAATGTGATCATACAACTGAATTTCAAACTGGGATACTTTTGAGAGTAAATGAGGAATTATGCTGCAATGGGCTTGAATCAGGACTGCTCCAGGCAAACTAGAATGTTTGGTTATCCTGTGTATACGTATCATGCAGTAACATTTTTCACTTCAAGGGCAGTGTCTCATGAGACTGCTGATAAGCTGCAAGAAAGCCTATCTCCTTCTCTGACCTATCTGAGCAAACAACGGAGCAGAAAAGCTGAAGGAGGAAGCAACTTTGCAAGAGAAAATGGTGGTCTTCAATCTTTAGAGACATGAAACCTCTCATGGCATCTGTGTCAATGAGTTAGTTAACCAATATGTACTGCACATCTGTTCTGCTGGTAACATAAGACATTGTCTCTACCAGTTATTGAGTTTAGATATCCAGTTATTTCATGGCATACACCTGCACCTGTAATGGCAGTTTCGTCAGGTGGATGAAAGAACAAACACGCTTAAAACACTCATTCTTGGTGGCTGTTTCTTTTAAGGAACCCCAAAGTTAATTCAAGGAAATATGGAATTGCCTGTCACAAACTTTAGAAGCAGTTAATTTATTCCAGTTGTCTGACCTTTGACTATAAGGGGTAGGTAGGCATCTAATGGAGATGCTTGTGGGTTAGTAGCCACAAGGAGTCCTTTTTAGAAAGCAAAAACTTTTTCTTTTCCTTCTCTTTTCAAGATCATCTCATCAGAACTCTATAATAAGTTTGAGTTTTCCCATTATTCCCTGGAGATAGGTTAAAAACAACAAACAAAAACCTGTTTCTTTTCTCATTACACAATTTAAAAAAAATGAAAGTGTCCCGTAGAAGGGAAATAGCAACTTAAGCAAGAACCTTGGGAAACAGATGTGGACTTCAGAGCGATAATGCCATCTATTACTGTGCTTTCTTTCAGAAAGAGAAATTGCTCAGGAGAGTGTAGTCCCGAGCAACATTTGTACCTAAGGTGATTCTTTCCCCCTGGACTTTTCAAACATCAGAACACAAACACATAGCATTTTGGGTATTATAAAATTACATGTCAACACATGGCAAGATGTAGTTAAGAGGCAAATTTTCTATATATTTTGATATAGATTAGGGTAAAGAGAGCAACACTTTTGTTGGAATGAGAATTAAAGACAAGACAAGAGAACTCTGTGAATTTATCCCCCTGAAAGTATCACCTTTGAACACTTTTCCAAATGTATCTAATTTAATGGGGTGGTGAAGTCATTTTTCATATATAGTGACTCTCTTCGCACAACCTTTGAACCTATTATTAATTTTGGACCCCAAAAATAATTGCTTTCCTGTGTCCTGTAGAGATAAAGCAGTGAATGAGTTTGGAGATACCTAGCAAAAGCTATTCATGTGGGAATGTCAGCCAAGCTATTATTCATTCCCTAGAGGCTGATATGTTGGAAAATTTATAAATTATTTGTTTGTGTATGTGTTATATATACATTAAATCTGGCCCAAATCATAACTCATATGCTTGCTTTAATAAGGTAAATGTTATTTGTGGTTAATTATATGATGGTAAGGAATATTTCATAATTTTATACAATGCTTGACATCAATCAAGGAATATTTCATAATTTTTTACAATGCTTGACATCAATTTCTCTCCCATGACATAGTAGTAATGTTAATAGACAGTTTAAAGTGTTTAGCATCATCTTTATGGAAAACTATATTCACCAATTTCGGGAAAACCAATCATAGAGTTTTATAATAAGACAGTTATTTGTCCCAACCAAATCAATTAGCACATGCCAACAATTTCATGAAAATGTGGTCATCTCAACCCCAATGAACTACAGTAGTAGTTGTTAATTATTGGAGTTTTTAAACTGTAGATATTGCAAAAGTTGCACAAGAGTATCACAATACCATTTTTAAATCATGTCTGTATTAGAATATTAACTGGTAAGTCCATTTGCCACTTAAAATAAGATGAAATCATAAATAATTGATTTTTAAGGTTATATTTTTTCAATAATGAATTTTCTATCCCTAGATAACATGTCTTTATTATTCAAACTACATATTTAAGAGAGAATTTGGTCTTAAAGACTTTATGTCATGGAAGTGTATATAAATATGCAAGCATGAGTTGTATGATGTGGATGAGTTTGTTTGTTTATTAACTAATAATGTACAGCAAACTGCCCATTTAGGGTACTGTTAATATTGGTTTCCTAACACTGGGACAGCTGACTGTAGTTCAATATTTAGCCTACGCTGCATTTTGATATGACCGAATTGCAATATATATTTTTAAAGGGAAAAAAAATTTCAAAATACATTAGGACATTCTTGATAGTAGCTAAAAAGAAAGAAAGAAAAGTGCTTTCATTGCTGAAATATCTCTATTTTCCAAAGATGATAAACTTTCATCATTATTAGCCTACATTGTCATTTATATCACCAAATGAGCTTGTAGATTAATGCAATAAACTTTATAACGAAAAACTCAAAAGTAGTGTTTATTTCTGTATAATTCTATTGTTAACTAATGAAAAGAAAACCTTAGCATCCTACTGGAAACATTAATAGTTCTCTCATGTATTGTCCCATGTTGTTGTTGTTGTGTGCCATCGAGTCAGACCCGACTCATAGCGACCCCTCCTTGGGTTTTTGAGGCAGTATCACTCTGGAAGTAGATTGCCCCATCTTCCTTCCAAGGAGTGGCTGGTGGGTTTGAACCTCCAGCCTTCTGGTTAGCAGTCAAGTGCCTTAGGCACTATGCTGCCAGAGCACTTTGCATACACATTTTTTAAAACAATTTTATTATATTTAATTATTTGCATATCTGCTTTCCTCTCAGATGACTTGGTTTTTCAGGACAGAGGCAGCATTTTATTCATATTTGGATTCCCAGTACCCAGGATAGTGGCTGAGAGTTAGGTCTTCTGTAAACAGCTTTAGGTTATCTTAAGTAGATTTCCTTTCTAAATCTCAGAAGATTGTTAATGCTTTTGTTTAAAAATTAAAACTTTTTGTTTTAAGCATTTGCTTTGTAGCACTGTACTGATGAGCTCTGGGAAATCCAATATGAAAAAAACATTGCTTCTCTCACTAGCTGTTTGTTTACTCAGGGCCAAGCACAGTTGAAGATGCAGAAAAGACTAAGACATGGATGCTACTTTCCAGAGCCATTATTTAGTTAGAAAAACAAAGATCTTACTAGCTGTGTGACTTTGACAAGTTACTTTACCTCTCAGGGTCTTGGATTTTATACTGTAATATTTTGGAAATAATATTTCATAGAGTTTTGTGAGAATTCAATAACT